ATTTCTCAAATACATTCAGGTACTGACAGCACCTTTCAGATTTCTATTACTATGGGATGCATACAATTACCCAAGAAAAAAGAATATGGAGAAATTTCTGTGTGGAATCATCTTCAGAAAAGATGACCAAGGAGAGATACCTTTGATCAAAAACTTTTATTTCCCTGTTCCAATTGTTCATTCACTAGGTATTTATACTTTATCAGCTGTCTTACAGCTTTACACATCTCCATACTATGTGCAGTCTCAGGTTTATTGTGTAAGATCTCCAATAACATTTGATTCCCTTTGATACACATTTGTTTCTAGAGTCACAATTTTTTATCAGATCTCAAAAGAAATTGAGGAAATGTTATGCTTTAAAGGCCCTGATCCTGCACTTGGATCTGCGCAAGCAGACCCCCGTGCCCATATACAGCTCAACTGAAAGGAGTACCCAGAGAAGTTTCCCAGATACTTTTTGTGGTTCAGATTTCTTTATCCAATATCAGATTTGGAGCATAAGCACCACATTTACTTACATCAAGTGCATTTCTCAAAATATTTTAGGTCAGATCCTCAGCAAATGTCAATCAAGGGAGCTCCATTTCAAAGGAGCTATGCAGATTTACATCAACTGAACATCTTTCACTAAATCTCACTAGTTAAGTGTGGTATATTATGATCTATGAACGTAAATCCCATAGTTATAGTATTAAGAAAAAAATTATTAGGAAGAAAAAATTGAGGCTTGAGTTGCAGGAAGGAATTAGAATAATTTGATTTAAAATTTTCACCTTCTATTTCTTGAATCTGAATGGTGTGGGGCACAAGGGGTTTCAGAAGATCTCTCAGACATGCCTACACAATGTCTGCTCTGACTCCTTGATTCATTATATATGGAGTTAATCCATTTTAGCAAAGAAGAGAAAAGATTAATATAGTTAGTGTTGTAAGACAGCAACTCCACTCGACTCTGTCAAAGGCTTTTCTGTAACCATCTCTTTTTCATAACTTTCTCAAAAGTCAGGTTTCAGAGTAGTTAGTCTGTATCCGCAAAAAGAACAGGAGTACTTGTGGCACCTTAGAGACTAACAAATTTATTAGAGCATAAGCTTTCGTGTTCTACAGCCCACTTCC